AATGTCTAAAGAGAGGGTCTGGATTCCTCGCGTCAGCGGCCTGCGCAGGGCCCTTGGGGCGAATCGCGGCGCGCTTCGGGGCGACCGCCCTCTCTCGTGGGGAGGGGCGACGGGCCGGCGGCGGGGGCCGGGGCGAGCGCGCCTGCGCGCTGGGCGGCCTTTTCACGTGTCGGGAGGGCCGTATCGCGGGTCTCTCCTTGCCACGGTGCGCCAGAGCGGAGTACGAGTCTGAGGCTGAGGGAGTCATGGTGAGTCCCATGTGGCCACAAGGCTCGCAGACCCGGGCCTGTCTGAGGCGTGTGGGGAGCCCGGACGGCCCTCTTTTGTTGGGCCCCCCGGGAGGGGTTGGGGGGCCACTTAGTGACCGCCGCTCGCCGGTACCTTGGAGCGTCTAGGCCTGCCCGATCCTTTTCTCCGCCGAGGGCTCGTTGCACGCGCGTGTGCTGCGGGTGTGTGAGGCGGTGGGGGGGGGGCGAGAACCGGGACGCACGGGCAGCGTCCCACCTGCTTCTGCAGGACCTTTTTGAGTGTGTAATATCTTGGGTGAAAAGCATGGTCCCAGGCAGGGAGATTGACCCAGCGTTTCCTGAAAAATTTCCGGAGAAACCTGTAGAAGGAAAACATTTGACCTTGGCATAAACTAAGGTTGACCTTAAAGCTGGTCAGGTTGCTCACCGGGGGAGCGACAACGACCCCTAACAGGCGTAAGGAATCGGGAATTAAACTTGGAATATTGGTTAGTACCTTCGAATGCGTTTCCTTAACGAGTAATGAGGTTTGGTGTTAAGTTTCAAAGCCACAGCGTGTTGAGATGTATAACACGGTGGCGTTGCCTATTGACAATGTAATTACATTTAGTGTTTGTTTCAAAACATTTCTCTTCCTACAGGCAGGACAGGCGTTTAGAAAGTTTCTCCCACTCTTTGACCGAGTATTGGTTGAAAGGAGTGCTGCTGAAACTGTAACCAAAGGAGGCATTATGCTTCCAGAAAAATCTCAAGGAAAAGTATTGCAAGCAACAGTAGTCGCTGTTGGATCGGGTTCTAAAGGAAAGGTAAATGGGGGATGCGGTGGAACTTTTTTTTGTGAAGGAGTCTCGCTGTGTCGCCGAGGCTGGAGTGCAGTGGCGCGATCTCAGCTCACTGCAACCTCCATCTCTCGGTTTCAAATAATTCTTCTGCCTCAGCGTCCGGAGTAGCTGGAACTACTGGAGCGTGCCACCACGCCCAGCTAATTTTTGTATTTTTAGTAGAGACGGTTTCACCATATTGACCAAGCTGGTCTCAAACTCCTGACCTCGTGACCCATCCACCTCGGCCTTCCAACGTGCTGCGATTACAGGCGTAAGCCACCGTGTCCGGCCGTGGAACTCTTTTTTTTTTTCAGTGTGAGAAGTGGCTAATATAAAGTTGCCTATTTTATATGATCAGTGCTGTGATGCTTATTTTATGTGATAGTTTCGGAGTATTAAAAATTGTCCTCAATAGTAATTTGGTAGCCTAGTATGATCAGTGTTTTCCTTACATTCTAAATTTTTAATAAGACGAAAGAGGCTGCGTGTGGTGGTTTACACCTATTCAAAACCAGCCTGGGCAACATAGCCCTCCTGTCTACAAAAAAAAAAAGAAAAAAAGAAAAAAACCTCTAAAAAAGATATGCTTTAAGGTAAAGTGATGGGGCATTTAAAAATTGAGAGGAAACTTGGACTGTTCGTTTAACCCCTAACATATTGAAGCTGCTGTAATCTTAACCACTTGGGGCCTTAGTTGGTATACCTATTCGAAGAACAGGTTGGTCAGTCTTGTCCTGCTGCCTGGGACAGCTTTGAATGCCACCCAACACAAATCTGTAAACTTTGTTAAAATCTGAGATTTCTTTTGCAATTTAAAGTTCATCAGCTACTGTTAATGCTAGTGTATTTTATGTGTGGCCCAACACAGTTCTTCCAGTGTGGCCTAGGGAAGCCAAAAGATTGGACACCACCTGTGTTTTAGATGTTCCTCAGTTGACTGGTTAGACCTCAGGCTTCTAAAGGGTGTCAGCCAAAATACACAGTAAATGCTGTTGGAGCCAAATAATGTTAACTGCATTCTTCCAGTTGCTTCTAAGAAAGAAAGCTCTACTCAGGAGCTGTCACAAAATTAGGAATAGGAAGACCTTGGGGAATGGACACTTAGCTGCAGTACCTTTCCCCAAATCTGTACTTCAGAAAAAAGGGAACAATCACAAGAGAAGCCTATGTTCTAAATCCAGAAAAATAAACGTTGAAAGAAGGAAAATATGACCATTTGTATATGGCATTTTCTGAGTGCCGGCTACTGTTGCAGGTTTATCTCACATAGTTGATTGGTTATGTTAATATTTAACAATTATAAAGTTAGTTTTAGTTAACTAAAGTTAGCTTCTCCAGAATATTTTCTTGAAATTTTACATTGGAGTCAGGTTTTAGTTTAAGCCACTGTGCGTTTATTATTTCAGAGTGTAACTACAGTGGTATTTTTGAGTGAAGATCTACAGTTGTAGTATGAGTCGTATCACTTAGCCCCAAGTATATTTTTAGCATAAGTGGATTTGGGTGAGCATGTTTCATTAGTTGTAGTGATGTGAAAGTTAACTGTATATGTTTGGTGAACTAGATGTCTTTGCTAATAAACATCCTTCCTTTCCTAAGGGTGGAGAGATTCAACCAGTTAGCGTGAAAGTTGGAGATAAAGTTCTTCTCCCAGAATATGGAGGCACCAAAGTAGTTCTAGATGACAAGGTGTGTAAACTTAATAATTCTAAAAAGAAGCCAAATATTTGCAATTAGTTGTCTTAATTAACGGTTTCTTCACTTGCAGGATTATTTCCTATTTAGAGATGGTGACATTCTTGGAAAGTACGTAGACTGAAATAAGTCACTATTGAAATGGCATCAATGTGAAGCTGCCCATTCCACTGAAGTTCTGAAATCTTTCATCATGTAAATAATTTCCATATTTCTCTTTTATAATAAACTAATGATAACTGATGACATTTAGTGTCTCCAAAATTGTTTCCTTGTACTGATACAAACATTTCCAAATAAAAATATATAAACGAGTGGTTAATCTTTAGTTATTTTAAGGTGGTTTTAGGGCTCTCTAGTTGATGCTTTTTTCTGTTTTTCAAATAACCAGAGAATTTTGGGAAACAAGATTTTCTAGGTCGGTACATTTTCACACAGAAACTAAATTTATTATTTTTTGAGTTGGGGGGTCTCATGCTGTTGGCGGGGCTGGAGTGCAGTGGCACGATCTCCGCTCACTGCAACCTCTGCTTCTCAGGTTCAAGCAATTCTCCTGCCTCACCTTCCCGAGTAGCTGGGATTATAGGCGCCTGCCACCACTCCCAGAATTTAGGTTTATTAATAGATGATTGATACTGATAACAAGCCATGGATTTACTTTATTTCTTTGAATCAGAGTCTCACTCTGTCACTCAGGCTGGAGTGCAATGGCACGATCTCGGCTCACTGCAACCTCTGCCTCCCAGGTTCAAGCGATTCCCCTGTCTCAGCCTCCTGAGTAGTTGGGACTACAGGTGCGTGCCAACACGCCTGGCTAATTTTTTGTCTTTCTGGTAGAGACGGGGTTTCACTGTTAGCCAGGATGGTCTTGATCTCCTGACCTCGTGATCCATCCGCCTTGGCCTCCCAAAGTTTTGGGATTACAGGTGTGAGCCACCATGCCTGGCCCATTTCATTTTTAAAAACAACACTACTACATAATTTGTTAAAAAAAAAAAATCGGAGGCAAATAATTGCCAGGTGTGGTGGCTCACACCTGTAATCCCAGCACTTTGGGAGGCCAAGGCGGGTGGATCACTTGAGGTCAGGAGTTTGAGACCAGCTTGGCCAACAAGGCGAAATCCCATCTCTACTAAACATACAAAAAAAAAAAAAACAAAACTGGTGTGGTCATGGCGTGTACCTGTAGTGTTAACTACTCAGAAGGCTGAGGCAGGAGAATTGCTTGAACCTAGGAGGCAGAGGTTGCAGTGAGCCAAGACTGTGGCACTGGGTGACAGAGTGAGACTCCGTCTTGAAGAAAAAACATTTATATATGAGGTACGATATATACATATATATATAATAGCTAACATTGGCTGAATGCCTTCTCTCCAGGCTGGGCACTATGTGATAGAGTAGCTAATAGGAGCATTTTCTAGGTGTTGGCTGCGGTTGAAGGTGCTTTTCATGTGTTAATTGGTTTAATCGTTTCTTTTTTCTTTTTTTTTTTCTTTTTGTTTAATCTTTCAACAACCTTATGAGATAGCTACTGTTCTCATCTTGCAGATGAGAAAGCTAAGGTGTAGAGGGGTTAAGTAATAACCAAGGTGGCTCCGTGGTAAGTGGCAAAGCCAACACAGTTCACCTCCAGATGTTGCTATTTAAAACTTGATCCTTTATAGCCTTGGCTACTTTGTTAATTCTAAGCACTTAATACACATTATTTCAATTAATCCTGGTGCTACCCATTGTGGTATGGGTAATAGGTAATCCCAAATGGTATATGGCACTTAGGTGCCTAGTACACCATGTGTTGAATTTAACAAAACAGTCACAGCAGAGGATAAATAGCTTGATGTAGCTGTAGCAGCTAGGGAGAAGTGTTAAGATTAAAATCCAGTAATGCTACACTCGAATTTGGTTGGGTGCAGTGGCTCATGCTCATAATCCTAGCACTTTGGGAGGCTGAGGTGGGCAGATCTCCTGAGTACAGGTGTTTGAGACAGCCTGGGCAACATGGTAAAACCCTGTCTCTACAAAAAATACAAAAAAGCTACTTGGGCTGAGGTGGGGAGGTTAAGGCTATGGTGACCTGAGATTGTGCTACCACACTGCACTCTGGGTGACAGAAGGAGACCTTGTCTTTAAAAAAAAGTCCTCCACTAGAATTGATTACCAACCCTTAAACTCAACTATTAGCTATCAGCTTAGTAGTCAAACTTATTTTCTAGGTTTAATTCTCTATAGTCTGATCATGTCTTTTAAAGGGTGTGTCCGTATTTATTTTGAAAGGAATTAAAATCTAAAGGTTTAAATGGCATGGAATAATGATCTCAACTTTTGATCATCTTCTCATCTGTAAAGTAGTAGGTACTTCCACTATATGTATATTTACGTTTATGCACGTGTTACTGCCTTTGGTATATTAAAGCTTACATTTTGTCAAACTTAGATATTGGAATTATGCCTAAAAGTTCTTATATTATCTAAGTGGATTATCATACTCTGCCCACGCACAGCTAGATAATATGCTTTGCACATCATAACCTTGGGAGCTCAGATTTTTCTGTATTACCAATGAGAAACCGTGACTCCAGAGATAAAGAAATCGTTCCAAGGCCATGTGGCTAATAACTTGTAGAGTTAAGAATCCGTTCAAAGGCTATGGCTTTCCCATTACTCTCCAATGCTATTTTCCTAAGACCCAAACAAATTAGTTTTGATGTCTAAGGTAATAGGTCCCAAAGCTTGGTTCATCCTTGTAATTGCCTAGTAAACTTAAAATTTCAGGGCGTCATCCAAACCTACTAAATCAGAAGAATAAAAGAATTTTTGAACACAGAAGCAGTCTCACTGTGATGCTTGCCTAGCAGAATTGCTAAATAAATATTTTTTGAGACACGGCGTTACTCTGTCTATCCAGCTGAAGTGCAGTGGTATGATTATAGCTCACTGCAGCCTTGAACTCTTGGGCTCAAGCAATTCTCCCATTTCAGCCTCCAGAGTAGCTGGAAGTACAGGCCTGTGTCACCATGTGTGGGTAATTATTTTTATTTTTTAGACAGGGTCCTCCTCTAGTGCTCAGGCTAAAGTGCAGTGGTGCTATCACAGCTCACTGCAGCATTGACCTGCCAGGCTCAATTGATCCTCCCACCTCAGCCTCCCAAGCAACTGGGACTACACATGCATCCCACCATACCTGGCTAATTTTTTTTTTTTTTGAGATGGTGTCTTACTCTGTTGCCCAGGCTGGAGTGCAGTGGCACAATCTTGGCTCACTGCGACCTCTGCCTCCCAGTTCAAGTGATTCTCCTGCCTCAGCTTCCTGAGTAGCTGGGATTATAGGCGTCTGCCACTGTGCCTAGCTGATTTTTGTGTTTTTAGTAGAGATGGGGTTTCACCATGTTGGCCAGGCTGGTCTTGAACTCCTGACCTCAGGTGATCCACCTGTCTCGGCCTCCCAACCTGCAGAGATTACAGGCATGAGCCACTACACTCAGCCAATTTTTGTATTTTTTTGTAGAGATCAGGTTTCACTAAATTGCCCAGACTGGTCTCAAACTCCTGGGCTGAAGGGATCCTCCCACCTTGGCCTCCCAAAGTGCTGGAATTACAGGTGCATAATTTATTTTTTGGTGAATGGTGTATGTACCTATTTTTTTAGAGATGGGTTTCACTGTGCTGTCCAGGCTGGTCTTGCTCTCCTGAGCTCAATCTTCCTGCCTCAGCCTCCAGCGAAGCTGGGACTACTTTATTTTTTAAAATTAATTCGTAGCTTGTTGTCACAACTTTACTTACTGGATTATTCTATTCTCCTTACACAACACCCCTTACCGAGACCAGTTGAGATCCCCACCCAGGCAGTGCTGGAGGCATTAAGAAGCAGACACCCAGATATAACAGCAAATAAGAGTATCCGCGGGCCAATAGCCTTCTGAGCTGAGAACCTCAGGGGCTGACAGCATTCTGGGCTGAGGGCCTTGAGCAGATTCTGACCCACATAGTTATTCTCTCTGAACAGGTGATTATTATTAACAAGTATTCTGTGTTTTCTCATAGAACCAAGATAAACTAGGTAGGCAGCTGGTGCCTGCTTACCACTGATCAAAGCCAAACTAGAAGCATTCTCCACAAGGAAGCCACGGGGCAGGGTCACATATCCCATGCTTAAAGAATTGTTTTAACTGGTGTATGATACACTTATACTGTCTTGCTACTTTAGAATGTCCCAAGTAGTTTTCCACTTGGGGAGCAGTGGCGGCTAGGTTTTCCTTGCCATTGTTCTTCTTAACAATATATTTTATCACACACTCAGCATTTCTCAACAACACCCCACCTCCCTTCTCTCTGTGCCCAGAAATCAGATATGTTACCTTGATCATACATGACATTTCTAAATATGCCTATTCCTGGGTTTAATAATTTGTTCCATTGACCTCCCTATTCTACCACATTGCTTTCAATGTAAATAGCTTTATATTTGTTTGATATCTGATAAGGCAAGTCCTCCCTATACCTGCTCACCTGGCTGAGGGTATGCTTTTTGTTCCTATATGAGCTGCCAGCTTGTTCTTCAGTGTGATTCCAAGTAATGCTTCCTCAAGCAAGTTAATTACTGTTTTCACTACACCCACCCAAAAATGGAGTTTTGAACTTTTGATTTATTTGTGTGAAGAGCATTTAAATATATTTTCTTTTTCTTTTCTTTGTTGAGAAGGAGTTTCGCTCTTGTTGCCCAGGCTGGAGTGCAATGGTACGATCTCAGCTCACTGCAATCTCCGCCTCCCAGGTTCCAGCATTCTCCTGCCTCAGCCTCCCAAGTAGCTGGGATTACAGGCCTGTGCCACCACACTCAGCTAATTTTTTTGTATTTTTAGTAGAGACGAGGTTTCACCATATTGGTCAGGCTGGTCTTGAACTCCTGACTTCAAGTGATCCACCCGCCTTGGCCTCTCAAAGTGCTGGGATTACAGGCATGAGCCACTGCACCCAGCTTAAATGTATTTTCCTTTACCCTTAAGCAACCTCTACGAGAGAGCCCAATCAAACCTAGGCTCTTGTCCTGCATTGCTTACATATTAGTTCTGTTACATTTGACAAATTACCTAACCCCTCTTAGCTTATGAATGAACTGCAAAACAAGGGCATTAGATTTGCCTCTTTTTTTTTTGGGAACGGAGTCTGGCTCTGTCACCCAGACTGGAGTGCAGTGGCATGATATTGGCTCACTACAACCTCCGCCTTCTGGGTTCAAGCAATTCTCCTGCCTCAGCCTCCCAAGTAGCTGGGTCTACAGGCACACGCCACCATGCCCAACTAATTTTTGTATTTTTAGTAGAG